TTACTGAGTCTCTCGGTTGACCTAGGCGTGCTCGTTCGTATTCGTGCTCAAATGAATACGCTGCTGAAGACGATTTAAAAAATGTTGCAGGGAGTGGATACACTGCGTCATGCACTATGAGTGCACGATCTAGAAATACCTGTAGTTAAAATGTGATCACGAGCATGGAGATGTTTAAATTTTTGTTTGAGGTTTATCCGATATTTCTTATAGCACAGTCGTTGGACAACGCTTCCAACTTTGAACACTACAGTGTGAAAAAATATATTACACCCAATGTTGTATACAGAATGTTGATGTTAAAGTGAGTAGAAAGTTGTAGTTGTTGGTCTGTGGTTTGGTATTATAAAGTACCACTTAGCATTGCATCCACATTCACGTATTGGGGGTGGTATTGTCGGTGTAAAAACCTCGTCACTTAAATGCCCGTATAATGTTCTGAAACGCTGATATGTTAAGTTTGAATAAAAAAATGTGTGTCTGCTTGTTTGTCTGTTATTTTTTTTGTGTACACTGTACTCGAATACAGTGTACTTTATCGCTTTAAAATAGTCTGAAATTTGGAACACTTACAACATACTCGTATATTATATTGAGATTGAGTTGTACGAGTATATTACGATTGTTGAGTGACCCCATATCAAATCTCCAAAGATCCCGCAATATGTAACTTCATAAAAATTGTATGAACATATAGTTAACAATCGATGATTATTTGATTAACTAGGTAAGAAGCAAGTTTCAGAATTGACATCTGTCGTGGGAAATTTTAATGCTACAAAAATCTACAATATAATTAAATAATAATCCAATAGTTATTAAGTAACGAGGTAAAATTTAATAAATAATGTCATAAAATAATTTCAGATGCAATTTACCAAAAAAACTGAGGTAGACAGTTATCTGTGTTACTGAACAGTTCTAACACAAAGATTTCAAACAATGTTTTAGACAATTCGTTTTTTAATGTTCATTTAGAAACCTGTGTGAAACATGTTCATTTAGTTTTTTATAATTTATCAAGAATGTGAGTAAATATTTTATTTAAAAGAAAACGGTATGAAGAAAATACATTTACGTACAGAGAATGAACTTAATTTTTATGGTCAAAATTATTTTTAAACACACCCTGTAAATAATTTCACAATTCAGTAAAATATGGAAAAGTGTAAAAAATACGTATTTTTAAAAATAAAGCTATTGCAATTAGAAAATCCGTTTTTATGTTTTCCGTATATGTATTATATTTTACGTTTTTATGTTTTATGTATTCCGTTTTTATGTTTTTACTTAACCCTTAGTAGTCACTGCGGGTCCAGGGGACCCAAGCCCCCTTTTTGACCTCGAATACTGCCCAGTAAAATAGAACAATTTGTACAATTTTTTTTTGCATTGCTAAAAATTTATTTTTCATTTACACCCGACTTTCTTCCATTAAATTAGGTTCAAATTATATCCCGGGATTTTTAAAATTATTTGAAATGCATTATTCAATTATTTATAACAATTTAAAGACGTCTGGGTCCGAGGGACCCAGTCTGACTATTACGTAATTCTGGGAAAGTGTGACTATAAAGGGTTAACTAAATTTGCAGATGGCATCATCATCATCATCAGGCGATGATTAAAATTATTTGTTTGATTGCGTGTTGAGTGCAAAGAAGTTTTAAATTTCGATGTTAAGTGGAAAATGTTCAGTTGTTCAAATTTGTTTCTACACCGAAGGTTCCAATTGTCCTCCTGTAGTTTACTATTAACAAAACTCGCTCTTTATTTTCAATTTACCTGTACCTACGTAGGTAAATTCACCTAATATTAATAGTAAAATGTCAGTTTTAATATCCGCCTATATATGTAGTACTGTAAATTCTACTTAATAAAACATTGGTATTTTATCAACACTTTGTAAACTTTTTTTGTCAGTGCTGCTTTCTTGTCTTCAAGTTATTTTTTCGTGTGTAAGTTGCCTATACAGTACGCGTCACCCTAATGCGTACATGGCAGAATGAAGGGGAATCGATAAGTTAATTTCTTTGTCGAGTAGACGTCACCACCGCCTAAACATGAGGTGGGAACCAATCGCGATCCCGTCGCTAGCGCAGGCGTATGGTAGGCATCCGGTTTGTCGATGGAGCTGTTTCCGTTGAAATTGGAAATAGCATTTTATTTTATTATTTTATTCACTTGGCAGATATCTTGCTTTCGAGTTCACTTCGGCCGGACCATTTGGGTACATGGCTTCGCGCTGACGTGGATAATACCGACAACATGTTTGACCCACTATAGGAGTCGGAACACCTGCTGTTTTTAGACGCAGGTCCGGCTCGGAATCGTTTCCGAAATACATATAATTTCATAGAACATTTTACAATTGATTCGGATTTACTTAATAAATTTTACCTTTAAACCGAAGAAATATTCGAATCTTACTTGCCAAATTTTTATACCCGCCAAACAGGTATTTGGAACAGGTTTGCCCTTGGAATATGAACACATCATACCTGTTATCATAAAATTCTGGATGCCTCAACGTAGAGTCGGTATCTGGAATTTTACGATGAGGTATGATATCTTCCTGTTTTATGCTAGGAAAACTCATTTTTCCACGGTATATCTGTTCCAATTACATGTTCCCATTATACCTGTTTTGAGACAAGTAAAACTCTAATACATATTTCGTCAGATTAAAGGTAAAATTCATTCAGTAACACAAAATCAGCTGTAACGAAACTGCAACTGTCTAACAAGAGACGAAAAAATTTACAAAAGATAACATATCCCGGTTAAAAAGTAATATTACATTTTGTATTTAAACATTTTATGAGTGTTTGCGGGTAAGATCTTTTAGGGTTTCATTTTTCGTGACCACTAAGACACCTAAATACCGCTCCGTCGTGTAATAGTTAGCTCCCTAGAACGTTTATTCGAATATTCACTATTGTATTATGCTGTATTTTCTGTGAACTATCGCTTTGCAATAATAGTCCGACTGTCCGAGTTGAATAATAGTCCTGAATCCGACTCTGTTTCAACACGCCGGTTTGACTGTGCATAGTTCTGTCTTGTTTCGCTGTTGTCACATCAACATAATATTCCTATTAGACATTTTAAAATTGTTTCACAGCTCAGCTGTTTAAAGTAATATTAGCTGTTTAAAATTGTTTCACAGTAGTTAAGTTGAAAAAAGATAACAGTAAACTATTATACGCAACACTGTATATGTCTGAAAATTAAATTGACTTATATTAATTGATCGTACATCAATACATTTTTATAAACATAGGGTTTTTATAAAGACTGTTTTATAATCTCGCTAATTTTCGAAACTAAGATAAAGACCTATTATGCAGAGTTACAGTTAGATCTGGCAACATCAAAATTTCCGCTACGATTACGATTACGATTACGTATGGGGTAGGTACATGCCCTGTGCACTTAAGCCATATTTATTGTAATATATCCAAAGTGCCATTGCTAGTTTTAATCCCCATGTCTTACCAACCATGCGTTTGCAGGCCCATAGGGCCCTGGTAGCCTTGTTGGCAGTTCTTTCCAAGTGAGCCCCAAAGTTTAGTTTAGAGTCTAATTCTAGTCCTAAGTACTTAACTTCGTTGCTCAGTTGGAGTTTACTTCCCCCCCAGGTGAAGTCCCTTCAGATCTTGAAGGTTTCTTCTTTTTGTGTAGGCAATTACGGCTGTCTTTTAGGGGTTAACGCTTAGCCTCTCTTTCTTGCACCATCTTTCTACTATTCTCAGGGCACGTTGCATGAGATCGGATACAACCCCTGCAAACCTCCAAGTGACTAGAATAGTGATGTCGTCCGCGTATCCTTGCGCAAGTGTGCCTTCTTGTTGTAGTTCCCAGAGAAGACTGTCCACCACTAAGCTCCACAGTAGAGGCGACAGTACGCCCCCCTGCGGACAGCCTTTGGCAGCCATTATCCCTCTGGTTACATTGCCAATGGAGCTTGTTATTGTCCTGTCTCTAATCATGGAGTTGATCCAGTCTGAGATAGGCTGTCCAACTCCTCGATTTTCGACAGCTCTTTTAATTGAGTTGAAAGAGGTCAAATGCTCCTTCTATATCCAGAAAGGTCCTAGAGCAATTTCTTTATTTCCTAGGGGGCCCATTCAATCCTGCTTGTGAGTTCATGGATGCTCAGTTCACAGGATTTGCCTGCTTGGAAGGCATATTGGTGTCGGTGCAAAGGGTTTTCCCTTAATGTCACGTCCCTGAGATGCATGTCCACTAATTTTTCTAGCGTCTCTAGTAAGAACGCTGTTAAGCTGATAGAGCGAAAGGATTTTGCCTGGGCATAGGATTCACGCCCAGGTTTAGGTATGAATACTACCTCAGCCTTTCGCCAATCTTGTGGCACATAGCTTAGGGCCAGGCTAGCCCTAAACAATGCGCACAGAGGGGAGGCTAGTGCTTCCAGCCCCTGTTGTAACATTATTGGCATTATCCCATCTGGGCCCGGTGATTTATATGGTGCAAATGATTTCACAGTCCATATAATCTTGGTTTGGTCAACTAGTTTTCAGTGGCGTATCTTTTATCCAATTAATTAATTAATCAATTACAGTGGAGCATCGATTATCCGAACTAATTGGGAACCAGGGTGGTTCGGATAACTGATATTTCGGATAACCGATAATTTAAAAAAAACCTATTTGGGGTGTAGGTACGTAATATGTATGTGCATAGATAATTAAATAAACAAACAAACAAACATTAATACAACACACAAATTTATTTTACACTTCAATGTGTACCAAAAAGAAAAGGGAACAACCACTGCACAACGCCCGCACTGACGATGTGACGTTGGTCACGTAGGCCACTCGTGGAGTAGAAGAGGGGGGCGGTTGGATTTTGAGGTTCGGTTAACCGGTCGTTCGGATAACTGAGGTTCGGATAATCGATGCTCCACTGTAATGCATAAATTAACTCATGTTATTAATCTTTAATTTACCGTTCATGTTAGTAATCGTTAATTTGCCGCAGCGATAGCTCAGTGGGTAAAGCGCCAGGTGAGTAGATGGCGATTACCTGAGAGCTATTATCCGCGCGGGTTCGAATCCCGCCTGTGGCAATTGGCACCTGTCACAGGGTTTGGTTGTGTGTCCTACGTCTTCATGTGTATTCTCCCTCTGCACAATTGTAATGACTCTTAGAGGGAGAATGTCAATTTCTGTGGTGTGATTTATTATATTATTATTATTATCTATGATCAATTAATTTTAACTATTAAAAATGTTTGAAATGAATGAAATGAATGAAAGTAAACTTGTTTCCACACCAGCCATGGGGTAACGTACACGGCGCGTTTTTTTAACGTGGTTTCCCCTGTAGGCCTAATCTACTTAGTAAATAAAATTACGTTTTCTATCTGCAAATGCCCGACGGACCTGGTTAGTTAATATCAATGCTTTCAACGGTGAATATGTTTGTCTCTATTTTGGGATCAAATATCGGTTTCTTTTAATTCGTCGAATTCTCCTTCAGTTGATAAACAAATATCGAGCGGCAAGTCCAAGTCATCTTCATCAGATTCGTCCAGCGTCAGTTGAGTGACATTTTCGCAGGTCTTTCCGTTGCAGACACCGCAAATCATGGAGCATTTTAATCCTGCTTTTCTGCATCCGCAGGCTCTACCACAATTGGTCTTGCACTTACATGACAAAAATACAAGTAGTGCTTTGGGAGCAGGATTCTTCAAAGTGGTTACTGGGGTGATACCAGTTTGGGTTTTCTTCCAACCCAATTCTTCAGCTTCTTTTGAACAGCCATACCATTGTCTGGAGGGGGTTTGATTATATTCAAGTAGGCGCAACGGCAATTGCACACAGGCTAGGAATGTGCCGGTTAGTCAGGGAGCTGAAAATATAACGACAGTTCAATTGAATAGCGTTGTATCATAAAAGAAAAATCGAATATTAGATAGGTAAAAGCAGTTTAGGAAAGTTAACGGGATATGTGGTCGTTTAATCAGCTCTTGAGCCTAAACCGTTAACTTTAGCGAAAATATGATCAGCACAATTTTTGTATGAAATTTTTAAAATCGTCTCGTCTTTAAATTTGCTTTTTACATATTTTTTTCTAAAAACGCATAGCTTTGGAGAGAATTGCAAAAAACCGTTTTTGGCGGCCATTTTTATCAAGATGGCAGCGCCGGCGGCAAGTCTCGAATTGTGCATTTTGTGAATTTTAGTTCTACATACCCAAACCTACAAACCTGCCAAATTCCAAAACTTCCCGAGTTATTTCCCAGGTAATCCCTTCTTTTGATCTCCAATGACTGGCCTATCTGGCCCTACCGTGACCTGCATCCTCAGCCGGTTGTTTCTTCTTTGCGGCTCCTGAGAGTTCTCTTGGGTGGGTCTCTCGTTGCCGAATCCCCTTCCCTGGTGGTTTCTTTCTGGTCCATATAAGCCCCACGAGAGGCTAGGGAAATATCGGTCCGCTTCCGCAGAGCCCACATGCGGAAGTAAGGCTATATACAACGGGGTGCGCCTGGTGCCTCGAGGTTTGTCGTTAGTGACTGACCCTCCCGTCAGCCATGCATTCCTTCGGCGTGCACAATACCTTGGGATTGGGAAGGTTTTTATGGTGGTGCCTTATCCACGCGGCTCAGGTGATTAAGCCCAAGCCACGTGCCCCCTGGTCATACTATCCCTAATCCTAGGATCAGGGAGTTGTTGCATGCCCAGGCGGTTTACGGTTTGTGCCAAATTTCCGCTAAGAAGTGGGGTTGTTGTACGTTGTACATAAGTAAATTCGCCTAACTTTGACATAAAAATGTACCATTTAATATGTATAAATATCCACCTATGTGCGCAGTATGGTAACTCTAACTGTATACTGTTACTCAATACGAAGTCAATTTATATAGTCCTAAAAATAATTTTTTCTTCAAGATTTTTTTTTTGGTTTGTGAGGCTGAGCTTCAACAAGTCATCTTTCGCAAATGAGACTCCTTTCTTTCCCTTTTCCTTCCTTTCAAATATAAATAAATAAATGCAGTAATAAATAAATATAGATAAATATCTGCAGTAACATACACATACTAAACAAAAATTATGTGAACCTCATATGTAGATGATCTTATGACTTATAGAAAATAGCGGAATTGGCCTAAGAAATTACAAATGTACGTAGATATACAGGGTGAGTTTATGAAGTGTCACCCCTCCGTTATCTTGGAAACGAGGAACGAAAAAAAAATTGTAATTTTCAAGGATGAAATTTGACTTAAAACATTGCAAAACTTCACGTCAAACTCATTTATAAACGGAAATAATATTTTTTAATAGTTTTTTCAAAATTTTAATGTTAAAATGGTTTTCTGTGCGTTATTATTACGATTATCTTAAACTCGTAATCAACTAAAAAATGCAAAATAATGATAGGCCGTGATATATACAGGTCAATGAAATAAATGCATGTGTCAAATTGTTACTGGAGCTGGGTAATATCTGAGTTAAATGATAGTGAAGAGTACCTAATTAAACAGTCCTTAAAAAAAGGTAAACTGGCAAATAATGAAGGGTTTACAAAAAATTAATTAGTGGACATAAGTTTAACAATTATTGGAGAACGGTATTGCAAAATAAAAACAGAAACTCAATTTAATTAAGAAAAAGAGTGTTAAGAAAAAATTCTAATTTAGGCAAACCTGAAGCGTGGAAAAAAAAACGTATTTTAAATGAAAAAACTAAAATAAATGTATTTACTCTTGAGGGACTAATGAACGCTGATTTTTATTACGCGTCTGGGAGAATGGTGGCCAGTTCGAAAATTTGAAGATTATGCTTTTTAGGTAGTATCTAACTGTTTTTGATACACAACAATTTAATACAATTTAAAATTTTAATTTCGTTGTTTATTTTCCTGTTGAATTAATTCTGAAAATGGTGACAATAATTGTTGTTTATAGTTCTAAGTAATGATATCCATAATTTTTATAGTTTGTGAGTACTTGTTGATCAATGTTTATACAATTTCAGTGTCTTAATTTATAATAGTTATTTTCACATCACATATTTGAATTAGAAAAGGCAATTTTAATAAAAATATTTAGAAAAATTGAAGATGCTAATTAAAATATTTGGTTCAAGGCACGTATTTTAGATATCCTTACACCATAAGTTCACCGGTAAAATATAGCTCTTCAATATTGATAAAATAGCGACAATATCGCATTTCCCATTATGAACCGTGTTTCACTATGGACCAGTTTACCCTACATTTAAAAGAAGCAAATGGAAACTCATTGGTTTTAGAAATATTACAATTTATAATAATACAATAATAAACCAAATATGTATAATAACATCTTACAGACAACCCAAATATGGCAACAAATATAGCATGCTATTTAAAGTAACGACATTAGTAAGTATTCACTCCCTGTATATAATTATTTTTAACATTCCACTAACCGTGCAACAAACTGTATATTAGATATACGTTATCCATATCATCGCTCATTATTATAATGTTTGGAATACCATGAAAACGGAAACTACAATGTACCGGGGTGTTAATGAGACCATGTACATCAGCCTGTTGTTTTTCACTTGTGGGAAGAAAAACTTTTTTTATGGGAAGAAAAAAAGAATTTGTGAGAAGACACTAGTAGGCTTATTTCGACGATTAAACATCTGAATAGCACATCTGATATAACCGGAATTTAATAAATATATAGTACTTAATTAGATTTTATGTAAATTCTATGATTGTCAATAATAAAAAAAGATATTTACTTTAGATACCAAAGAGTATCGGAAAATGCGAAAATATACACGACATTCTTAAAAAAGAAACTTGTGTCACTGTTTTTTGGAACACACTATATATTTCAAGCTAACTTCAAGTTACCGCTTTTTAAAGGTAATTTTGACATAATAGTCTTATTAATATCTCTATTAACTTTAGAGATATTGACGTGGTTTGATACTTTTGCCCATCACTGAATTATTTATTAAGGAATGTTGTCATCAATTCCATTTAAATAATGTGAGTTGACAGCTTGTGACGTCGCACGAACAGTAACAAATAATTTTTTTATGTAAGCTTGTAGTGTTTTCCACAATTAGCAACATGTTTCGTCTTTTTTCGTAGTCTTTGTGACTGTGATTCCATTAAAGTAGAACGTCGTTTATTCGCATTAATTAAGACTGAGTGTTGTGCGAATAATGATTTTTGCGGATTTGATGCACAAAAAACACGTAAATGCGCGTACATATACATGTAGCTTTTCTTTATTTGTTGTATAAAAGTTACAGCGTTTAGGCTGGTATTTACAGAATTCAGGCTTATACTTTTAGAGAACTGCACTATACAGAAGAAAATTATGTATATAAAATGAGAAACGCAATAGCTGTTCTTGTTTTGTTGCCTGTGGGACAACATAATAAATAACATAACATAATAATAAACGACGTCTACTATACATGTATTCTAAAAAATGGCGTATGCACTTGTATACTACACAGAATATTCCAGTCTGTAAATATGTTTTAAGCTTGATACATTCTTGGCACATTTAACTGTGTATACCTATTACCTATTATGTAAATATGTTTAATATATTTGGAAGAAAATTAATTTAATTTTCACCCTTTTCAGTTCTTATTCGCATATATCTATCCTAGGACCACAGGCTGTAACATGTAATATGTAGGCGATTTACATACTTTGCAAGGTTGTAGACAAATCTGATGAATATATCGAGGAATATATGTATAATATGTGTATTAAGTATACATTTTACCTATTATGTAAATATTTTTAATATATTTAGAAGAAACATAAAAAGAATTTAATTTATGGGTACCACTGCTATTATTTTCGTATTTATGTCAAAAGCTTCCTGATGTGCCCTGTTCGAAGTATTTTTTGCATAACATTTTCATCATTTTTAGTTCACTTTGCATATTTCCATCCTAGGACCACAAGCTGTGATGTAGATGACACTGTAACATGTAATGTAGATGATTTACCACTGAAAATTTATAAGCAAATATAATGAACATACATGTGTATATTATACATTCAACCGCTTAAGAATTTCAGCTATATTTTTATCTG